TTTCCCCCTAATAACGTTAGGGCTTACGCAAAAACAAAAAAAGTCTGGAAACTAGTTAAAAATAAATTTGAGTCCTTAATTAAACTTTCGCGTTTAAAAATTATACAAAATCAGCCTTCTCGAAAGTAAATTCGCGTTTATCAAAGTATTACGTCACAGCGCCAGGAAATTATTTCTTTGAGCACATCAGCTGCTGGCTCAAATGCGATAGAAACTCCGTTGATTAAAACGAAAAAGAACGACTAACGTGAAGAACCTCTATAAATCGAAAAACCAAGAAAAAAAAAAAAAAAAAACACGATTACGTGTAAGGTCGAACGGTTCTAACGGTTCGTAACGGAAGCTAGAATCTAAGTGTGTTTGCTAGAAGAGAAATTCATCGATCCCTGCTAACAATTCGATCTTTCTTCTCTTCGGTATCTCTGCCAGGTTCGACGAATTTCCCTTTTACAATTGATCCGGTTATTCGGTAGTCAGGGTTCACTCGGTAGAAAAATTCTGCAGAAGAAAAGTTGACCATCTTGAGTTTTTCTTTTCTTTTCATCGGTTGCGATTCAACGATCGGCAAGAAAAAAGGAAGTACCTTGCGTGATACAAGCGGCGTTATTTTTTCTTTTTCTTCTCTTTTTTCGCTCGAGACAACAATACAATATACATAACCGCGTATCGTCCACACAGAGACGCCAGAACCTTTCCAACGCCAATACGATATTAATGCCTATGCCGGTACCATTTACGATATCGTTTTCCTCTGCAACCCAGGTCAGAGGTACACGTTGCTTATTCGTATGAAATATTTACACGCACGTGATATTAGAATGCAAATAAAAATAGATAGTTTAAAATATTATTTTTCTCTCCCGTTCTATCTCCCATTCTACCCATTCTCTCCCTCCCTTTCTCGCTTTTTCGCTCTCTCTCTCTCTCTCTTCCTTTCTCGCTTAACTTCCTCTCCCACTATCCCCCCCCCCTCTTTCTCTCACTTCCCAATTAGAGCTTCTCACGAATTGTTTTTTTCTTCTTTTCATTTGCTAGCATACGAGACAAAAATCCATGCATTAAAGTTCGAAAAAGTTTCTTCGATAATATTTTGTATAATATTCGCTTTAAATCCTAAAACGATTAGTTAGTAGTAATAATGTTGGTAATATTCGTTTCTTGATAAGAAGATGCGACGCGCCGCTAACTACTATTTTCCTTATCTTCCTCGTGTAAATAGTAAAAGACCTAAAGTTCCTTGTATTTTATTCTTTTCCGTTTTTTTTTTTTTTTTACTTTTAGTTCGAAGGACATTGGCACATTGGAATAGATTTTCTGTGTGTATCGTATTATCGTTACTTTATTCATTTCTTTTCTTTCTTTTTTTGTATTTTTTCTCCTTTTAAGATTTTCGATTCAACACCGTGTCAACGTACAGTGGGTCGAGTACCCTGAAGAGATATGTTAATATACCCAAACGCCGCGTATCCGTCCCTCGATTCGTGGCGACAGCTGATCGTGAGAAAAGCACCGTCGGGAAAAACCATTTGAAAAACACTTTGGTCTCGCTTACAAGAAAGAAAGAAGAAACAAAGAAACGAGTAAAATAAATCGCAATAACAGTCAAAGCCACTTTGGTATCGTACCGATTCTTAATTACAAGCCGATTAACTCTTTTCTTTTTACTACGACATTTTTCTCCCAACCCCCTACGAACTTTCAAACGACGCGCAATCAATTGTTCCGTGAATTTCTTCTCGAAATGGATCAGCCGTCGCCTGGACAATCGCGAGACCTCCGACAGCGTTAAAAAGTCTCGTCTCGGCTTTTCTTTTTTTTTTTTTTTTTGTGGTTTTTCTTATCGTTTCTTTACAAATATTAACTTACACAACACCGAACATCGACCTAATTCCGTATACTTTTTGTTTTCTTCATATACTTCTAATATTCTTCTCGTTTCTAGTATACCCAACTGAAGGACATCACAGAATTTCTCGATATTAATTAACCAATGATTTTTCTTTTCGCTATACATATGCAATTTTTTGTACACACGCCGGCAATCATAATGTGGAATTTTCTTTTCTTCTTTTCTTTCGCATTCAATTCCCCCCCCTCCGATTCTTCGTTCCCCTTTTCATTTTGTAGCGCCGAATACATCTTGATGCTAGTTCGCGTTCGATATATATCACAGAATTATAAAAGGTTTCCAAAATGACTAGGATAATTTTCACTAACGAATTATCTTTAAGCTTTTCCCGAGTCGAAATGAAATTTTCGGAAAGCAAAGATGCCCAACACGTAAATCTTTCCTTTAGGCGAAAGGAACGTTTCGTCTTTTTCTCCACATTATGCTTCGACCGGCCGCGGAAAAAACGATTACTTTTCTCATTTCTTTTCTTTCTTTTTATATGTCTACGAATGTATACGTAAATTATTTTTAAAAACTCCCGTCTTCGGAAGACACCTAAAATCTAAAATCGTATTTCTCGTTCACGGTATACTTCTTGTTTCGAAGATATGTTTGGAAAACTTGTTCTTTCCCGCCTGCCTTCTCTCTTTATTTCCTTTTCTATTCTCTCTCTCCTCTTCCTCTTTCCTTCGTTTTCTTCTTTCCTCCTATCTCCGCGCCTACCGTCGTTAAAACCCGAGAAGACGCACGCAATTTATTCTATTCTCGCGTCTCGTTAAATATTCCCCTCTTTTAGTTTCTTTATCCCCCACTACTACGGAACCTAAGAATTAGAAGTAGACGTAATTTGTTTTTATCCTTTTTTCCCTCGATAATTTGTACTTGCTCGTTAATTATAGTGGCATTTCTTTTGTTTCATCTTTTTTTTCCTCCTCCTCATTTGTAACCCCCTTACACGATAAAACATCAACATTTTTCTTCTCGTTCTCTTTACAACCGAGTTCTAAAAACCTGAATACGTTGCACAATGCTGAACAACGTTTCCTTCTTCGCTCTTCTTCTTCTTTTTCTTTTTTTGTTTTTCCTTTCAGTGGATTTCCTTTAGCTTGTACGTTCGTTTTAAAGTATATATGTATAATAGCATGGATGTGTATCGAAGATTTGAAAGAACAGGGCAGTGTTCGATAGTCTCGCACAAATCGTTTCTCGTACGCCACTGCATTCTACAACCTCTCCTCCTCCCTCCTTCTCCTTCCTCTAACCCTTCCCCACCCCTGAAAATCCCGTGTACCTTTTCTTTGGCCTAATTGGATCCCCCTCGTCCGCCTTTTTCTCCATTCTTTTTGTCTGGTTCGATCGATGCGACCGAACCAAGGGAAAAGAAACGAAGAAGATCGAGACGAAACGAAGCGCGCGCGTTTTGCGACCCGAATCGTCGTTCCCCCTATAATAAATTTACCCCCATCTTACGCGTAATATTGCACATTTACATAACGGTGACGCGGTGGAACTGTCACAGGTTCGAAATAAAATTGCAAGTGTGAACGAAACGAAACGAAAGTGTGGAGAAGACGAGGCGAGAAGCTCCACTGCCCTGCTCCCGCCGTGGTTCTATCTACGTCCAACTACTCTCTCTCTCTCTCTCTCTCTCTCTTTCTCTCCTTCCAATTTCATCGTTTGCTCATTCGTTCCCCCTCTTTTCATACTTATAAAACCTGAACAAGAGAATATCATCGTTATCAATATCGTACGAATATAATAATATATGTACAGCTCAAAATATTACTTTTAAAGAGTTAAAAATATAGTCTGTAATTTGCGCGCACGACGGACCTGTACACGTGTAAGAGCCCATATCTATACTTCTACTTGCACTTTTCTAAACGCTCCTTCTCCACCCTCCCTCCCGCCCCATCGTCGTCTTTTCTTTTGTCTCCGCGCAACAATACTCCCATCTAGTCCTTCATCGCCCATCCAACCCCCTTCCACTCTTCTGTCCTGCTCTATCTACTCGGCCTACTTCGCTAATTCGATAACACTCTCCTCTCCTACTACCCGTCCCCTCTTTTCCTCCTGAAAATTTGAGCACATATTTTGTAGACTTTGTAATTGAATTTCTTTTAGGCCTAAGATCCCCGATCTACGAACCCCTTTCCTCCAGTGTATTGCCGCGCCTATAAAACGACAGACCTACTACGAAAAATCCATGCACGCACACTCTTACACCACGTACGTACACGTATTATACACACGTGTACGCGTGTGACGTACGCGTATGTACTCAATACGATGGGTAATTCGATCATTCCTGATACGTTTCTCTCGATATTCTTCTCTTAAACCAGCTCCAATAAAAACCCGTCCCTCCCTCGAACGATCGTGGAGACCTTGTCTAGCACAGTAACCACTAGCTAGATAATATTGTAAATTGACATGGTTCGCGGGAACTGGCCAGGGGATTCGAGACCGAGCGAACGCGTGCAACAGGCGAGAGGCGGCGGTCTGACTATTCCGGCCTATTCTACTGTGGCAACTTCTCCGCGGTCGCCCGTCGCAAACCGTTACTCGACCAGTCCCTTGGTAGAACATATATTTCTTCTTTTCATTTTTTTTTTTCTTTTTTTTTTCTTTTCGTAAAGCAACGGTCGCATTCGAGACCTCGTGAAAAGTCGGGCTTTAAAAGCCCGACGCAATGGAATGTATTCTCAGCTCGTGCACGACCTGATATATATGTATGCATTTCTGTAAAACCCGGCGAAAGATTTCCCTCTCGAAACTACGTCTTAGTCGATTTTCTCTTCTTTCTTCTTTGGATTGATAATCGCAGTCTTGACTCGAGGAGAACTACGAAACGACGACTACACGGAAGAACGTGGGGAGATAGTCGTTCGAACGTTTCAAACACGTTAGATCGAACGGCATCGTGTTATTATATCTTTCTCTTCGTCTACGATCTTCGAGACGTTCGTTCGATCAAGATTGCTCCAGATAAGCACTCTGGAGGATGCATCCAGAGACGTTCGGCGTTCGAGTGTGCTTTGGTCCACGAAGATCGGGATAGGTGAGCGTTTTACGACGAAGAACTGGATGGAGACGAGATGGTGGCGGTTGTTGCGGTGGCCGACGACGAGGATGCAGAGTGTCCGGGACGGGGAGACTGTAAGACGGTTCCGACATTTTCATTGCGGCTGCTGCTGCATCTGTGCCTGCTGCATGCTGCCTAGAACATTCTTGATCGCCGTGGTCTTGAGCAGCCTCTTGAGCATACCGCTCGAGCCACGATGCTGGAGGCTCTTGTGCGTCGTGAGCGAGTTCTTGGTGCGGTACCTGCGGTTGCAGAACTCGCAAACGTGGAGGGTGTACGATTGCTCGTGTTTATCCTGGAAATGACGCTTCAGGGAGTAGTAGCATGAGAAGTTGCGACGGCAGTACG